AAAAACAAAGAACACCTGCAGGCAGCTGTGGCAATGACCGCAAAGAGGCCGGGCTTTGGCGCTCAGATAAAAACACTCACTACGCACTGCGGGGCCTTTCTGTGGAGACTGGGAGCACCGGGCTGCTCCGCCTAGGACTGTGTCCCAAGGTTACAAGGACAAAGGTCGCTGAGCAGTCTAGGGGACAAGTGTCTAGGGAAGAGGAAGGGCAGGAGACCCCTTCCAGAAATCGGGTCAGGTAGAACTGGATTCAAATCGCCATGTATCACTTAGAGGCTGCGTGACCTTGGGCAAGTGACCTTGAGCAATGAGCTCTTGTGGAGACAGTGATAATGTGGGCCTCATTTGGGGAGAGAGAGAGAGAGAGAGAGAGTGTGTGTGTGTGTGTGTGTGTGTGTGTGTGTGTGTGTAAGTAACCAGAGTTACCCAGATGACATGTTAGACAGAATGCTGTCAGTCCAGTGCACAGCTCATGCAAAATGTCTGGTACCTGGTGGGGGACTATATCTGTTCACTCCAGGCTCCACCCACAGTGTCTCCTCTTGCCTTGGCACCTGCTTCTACATCTCATCTGGACCCCATTTGAATCTCCGCTACGTGACTCTGTCCCATACGCTGTGTGTCTCCACCTCGCCAAGGGCAGGGTCCCTCAGGCCGAGCTATTCTAGAACATAGAAGGTGTGACAAGTGAGAGAATCTAGAACTACTCAGGACCTGCTGGGAGGGAAATTAACTTTTCAGCTTCATGGTCTTGCTATGGACCACTGGGGTTTTCTCAACCACCCATCCTACCCTACTTGAGCTGCTTGCTCAGTTCCTGTTTCACAAAGAAACAAGGAAGTGAGGAGGTGGGCCAGCCTGAGGGCAAGGGCAGGCTGGGCGTGGTCAGGGAGCACCTCCCTCTTCCAGCTAAGAGAGCCTTGGAGGGCAGGGATGCACTCGGGGGAAACAGTTGCTACTGACTCTTTCATATTTCCAGATATTTTTTGGCACCAAAAGCGCCCAACCACTGCTTTGAGGAAGTGCGGGGTGAGTTGGTAAACTGCACTGCTGACGTGGTTTGCGGGGCTGAAGGCAGCCAGCTCCAGCCCTCCCGTGGCCCCAGCTCATGAAGCCCCCGAGCCAGCTGGTTGGCAAATGAGAGAGGACTGGCTTCGTTGTCGTTTTAAAAATGAACCATTTAGACTCTTTCTGTATATACATAAGTAAGTATGTATGTATGATCTCACCCAGGCTCTTTCCTATTCCAAAAAGGATTTAAAGCATCAAAAAAATGTAGCTCAAGCCCATCATTCCCGCTGTTACCATGGCCCTGTGACCGGCAACAGGTGCCCTTGGGCTTCAGCTTGCTCCTTCGAGGCAGTGGGGAGTGACGGAAGAATACACTGAAAGCAAGAGAGGAGCCCACACAGTTGAATCAGGATGCTGGACATTTAATCCCCGCTTTGGCCTCAATGGGCTGTGTGACCTTGGACCAGTCTCTCCTTTTTCTGGGCTGCTGTGGCATTTCCCCAATCTGTACATCAAAGGCATGAAACCCGTTTTTGCTTAGTTTTTTTTGGTTTTGGTTTTGGTTTTGGTTTTGGTCATGGAGCTCCTAGTCCAGTCTGGCTATGGGATTTGTGGGACCTGGTACAAAGTGAAAAGGCAGGGCCCCTTGTTCAAACATTTTAAAAAATTTCAAGATGGTGACAGCGGAGCTCTTCTTTTTTTAAAGATTTTATTTATTTATTAGAGAGAGAGAGCGCGCACGAGTAGGGGGTAGGGGCAGAGGCAGAGGGAGCTGCAGACTCCCCACTGAGCCCGGAGCCCAGGGCCCCGGGATCATGACCTGAGCCAAAGGCAGACACTTAATCGACTGAGCCACCCAGGCGCCCCTGAACGGGGCTCTTCTAAGCACCAGGCCCTCTGTGACTGCACAGGCCCATCACTCAGAAGTTGGCCTTGCAACTACTTCCGATACAATTTTATGGGAAGCCCATGCAGGCTGCTTTTGGCTGGAGCTCTGCTTTTTGTGGCAGTCCTTGTGGCATTTCTAAGGAACCTCGGGCTCTTAGGAAGCACAGCTGGAAAAACACAAATTAGATACTTGGTCAAAAGCCTGTGTAGTTTCGATGATGTATATATAAAATTTGGATCCCCTGTTTTTTCCTTACCTACCTCCAAAGGTGAGGCAAGAGTTGAACTCGTGCTGAGTGGATAATAGCATTATCATCTCCTGTCTGTGTGGCTTCCTGGCTCACAGAGTGCTGTCACATCCGGATCTTAGGAGCCTTTCACTATCACCTCATGGGTAAGGTGGTATATGTAGTTTATAGAAGAGATAACTGGAGACCAGAGAGGTGAAGTGACTTGCCTATAGACACAAGCTGGCCCAGCTGGAACTGGAACCCTAGAATCCGAACTCCTGGGAAAAGAGGCTTTTCCAAGGGGGCATTTATTTATCTTCAGTTCCTAATGACGTCTCAAGTGCTCCTGCGTGGGTTCGCCCTCCTGTGTATGCTTGAATGTTGCCCTGCCTGGTGCAGAGTGGAACCCTTCAAGAGGGCTGCTCAGTGTGCCGATGATCTGGGCCCCAAGGAGGGAGGGGCTGAGGTGGCAGCCCCCCCACTCTGCAGCCATGCTCTCAACCCCACCCTGTGCTGGTGGATTGGAAGGGGTAGTTAAGGGAAGCGATGAGGCAGAGCCCTGGGTCTTGCTCCGAAGGAGGAAAGCGGAGCACGTGAGCTGCCCTGGGCTGAGAGGCCTGTGAGCAGGTCCTGGTCAGGTTATGGCCTGGGGCAAGCATCAGGGATCAAAGGGAAAGACCTGGGTGGGCAGGCCCTGGGGAAGCAGGATGGTGTGGAGAACAGTCAGGTCTGAGTCCCAACTCAACCAGCTGTGTGATCCTGGCCGAGCCTCAGTTTTCTGAGGTATGTGAGAGCCATACCACCTGCCCTTTTCTGAGAGAGCGGGTTCTGGAATCATCGGACTGGTTTGAGTCCCACTTTTATCATTTCCTTGAGGAGTGACCTTGAGCGAGTTGGCTAATCTCTATGAGCCTCACTCATTTTCCTCACTTGCAAAATGGGAACAGTAAAAGTACCTTCTCAGAGGTTGTGGAGATTAAGTGGGAAAATGCAATAATGTATTGTACACTTAACAATGTATGAGAGGGTAGATCTCATGTTTACCGTTCTTATCACAATAAAATAAAAAATATTTTTAAAGTGCATATAAAGCACAGTGCCTCAAATATATGAAACACTCAGTGAATGGTAGTGGTGATGATGATGATGATGGTGATAACTTTAATTTTATTATTAGTAGCTGTCTTTGTGGGGTGACCAGGTGAGAGAGTAAATGAATCAGCAAGTTGAGGCCCACTGTTGGGTGCCATAGGCTCGCAGTGAGGATGGCTCAGAGCAGGGGCCTTTGGATACAAGCCTCAGTGGTGATAACTGTCACAGGTCACCCTCACTCAGCCAACCAGGCCTGGTGGTCCCAGGCGGGGGGGGGGCGGTTGTGGGACTCCTCTGCCTGGTGCCTCTCCCCAGCACTCTGCCTCGGAGGCTTGGTTCCCTCCTCTCCCTGACCCTGCTCAGCAGAGCACAGGTGCTGCTTCCAACTTTCCTGGACTACATTCGACAAGTCCCATGGCATGGGGCTCCCTTCCATGCTCTCCAGAAGGCTGTGACCTTCAGCACTGGTGCTGGTTGGCTGGGCGTGGCATGCACGTGAATATATGAATGTTCACACACGTACACGCACGCATGCTCACATGCCCATTCTCAAGCACATGTGCTCCCCAACTGAGCTTCTGGGAGCCTCACATCCCTCCCCCCATCTCACCCCCTCCCCTTCCTCCCCCACCACAAAAGCCACAGGTAACAGCAGTCCCCAGCAACACAGAAGACACAATGCAAAACCCAGAGGCAGGCTTCGTTGCCATGCTGTTTTAAGCATCTAGCAGGATGTGAGCCCAGGTGGCTAACGGCAGGGCTGACCAAAGAAAGCTCCCTCCCTCCCCTCCGCCCTGCCCCCAACAGCGGGCTCAGTGAACTTGGAAGGGGCTGGGAGGTACCCTAAGGGATTTCACATGGGGCCAAAGGGCAAAATAGCTGGACTGCCAGCCCATTCTGGCCCCGCCATGTCCCAACCGAACACTGTGTGTTCTTGGAGAGGTAACCCCGGTCTGGAGCTCAGTTTTTCTATCTGTAAAATGGGGAAAGCAGAGTCACACAAGTTAAACCAGCCCACATAGGTTCAAGCCCATCCGAAGATGCTGGAGGATTCGACAGCATTGTCACTGCAGCTGCATTTTGGAGAGTTAAAAGGGCTACCCACGCGCTGGGAAGTCTGGGATGGTGATTGGGCACTGCTGCTGAGGTTGTTCCCAACTTTGGGTAGGGTCATATTCCAGAATGCTCCCCACATTCCCTCCTCCCCCACGGCCAAATTCCTATGGCTGAACTCCCTGTCCTGTCCATTGGTTTGGAACCCACCCAGGGTTTAGAGGTGATGAGCTCACATGGCGGGCAGGCTGGCGTACGTGCCCCTTTCTGGCTGGCCCTCCTGGTTGCAGAAGCCTCGGCCACCTTCCCTTCCTCTCCCTCCACAGGCTCAGCAGGGAACCTAGAGGCAGCCCGCGTTCCTTCAGCCTGTGGGTTGCAGCCAGGAGGGCATTGTAGGGCCAGGGGCAGGTTGCGGTGGTCAGAAGCAGCTTCGAGGGTGTGGAAAGACCAAGTCAGGAGCCCGAGGGGATGGGAAGAGCTCTGACTACATCTAGCAGGTGGCGATAGGGTGGGGCTCTCCCGGGTGGAGGGCGCGGGGGGAGGGGGCATGGCGCTCCCGGGGGTAGGGTACCGCCTCATATCGGTCGTGGGGGGCGGGGCAGTGGTAGGAGGCTCTGCCAGCTAACAGGTTGGGCCTACTGGGCTCACAGGAGGAAAAGGGACTAGCTGGCTAGGGGTTGTGAGCCCAGGGTGCGGTGTACAGGCCCAGAGGGGGCCAGCCTGGGGCCAAGAAGCCCTGTGTCCCTGGGGCTTAGTCCTGGAGAAGGAAGTTGAGGGCAATGGTCTCTGGGCAATGGGCCGGCAGGGACTCTGGGGGTGCAGGTGGTGCAGGATGAGGGGAGCTGAGCTCAAGGGTTGGCCAGGGAGTCTGAGCTTCTAGACACTCCAGCCGAGGACGGTAAGAGAGGAGACTGCCAACAGAGAGGCCAAGGAGGCCGTGTGCGGCGCCCTTGCGGGCAGGGGCTCCGTGTGCTCCCACAGCCACTTGAACTCCTCCAGCAGCTGGCGCTGCAACAGCTCTGGGCCCACCTTCTCTCGGATGGTCTGGTGATAGTGGTTCAGGTGCTGGAGCTGCCAAGGGAAGGAGGGGTTGAGGGCCTCCCCCGGCCAAACCGCCACAAGGTGAGGTCTTGGTGCCAGCCAGTCCCTGGCGATGGTACTCTGGCTGCTCACCCTGGCACAGGGGCCCACAGGTACCTCACAGATACCCACAGCTCCCCGGCCATCATCAGGCCACAGGCATATGCCCTGGGGGCTTTTCAGAGGCAGCTCACCTCAGTGGCCATTTAGCGTCTCAGTGACACTTTCGTGGGGTGCGTGGGGGACGGGAGCGGAATGAAAGTTGGGCAAGCATCATTATCCCCATTTTACAGAAGAAGGGACTGAGGCTTATATTAGGACTTGAGGTGGCAGAATCCAGAGACTCAGACTCCCCAGGAGTTCACTACCTGGGGTTGGGCAGGTTGGTCTGACCAGAGAGTTCTAGAAGCTTTGCAGTCTCTGGTGAGGTCAGGGAGGGATGCCTCGGTGTGTGCCTACAAGCCAACAGTGTGGACCGTCCCAGGGGAGCGGAAGTGGCAGAGGGTCTTGGGGTAGGGGGAGCAGAGGCGAGAGAGGCCCAGGGTTGGGAAGAAGGCAGTCAGTGGTTCACGGGCTGAAAGATGGACGGTGCTGAGGGTCACTTACGTGCTCTGGAGACAGCAGGCTGACATCAATGAGGTTCCGGTCATAGGGCACCAAGGACACCACTTCAAAGGTCAGGTAGGACCCTGGGTACTGGGATGCCACAGGAAAGGCGGGAAAGCGGGAGAATGAGTGAGGAGAAGGGGCCTGGCTGAAGGCAGGGAGGCAGTGCTCCACTCAGAAGCCACGGGCACAGGGAACTGGCCCTTGTCAAGGCCGAGACTCAAGGTAGGCTGAATGTCCTACAGTCCCCTGGTCCACCCCCACACCCCACAGCCCGGTCTGCCACTCAGCACCTCGCCTTTGGTGCTTATTAGGTCTGTATTTCTCAAAGTGTGTGCATCTATAGCACCACGGGGGCCTTGTTAAATATGTAGATTCCTGGGTCCACCCCCCCAGACCACTGGAGTGAGAACTTTTAGCACAGGGCTGGGAACACACATTTTAATATTTTTAAGATAAGTTATTAGGTTTTTATATCTATCTATCATCTATCTAATCTATATCTTTATATATCTCTATTAAATCTCTTTGTATCTCTTGATTGACCTACCCATAGAAATAAGTATAAAGAAGACAAAATAGTCCATAATTCCCGTTTCCCAGGGATCCCTTGCATGGGTGTGCTTAGAAAATTCAAACTACAAAAAGATACACAATAAAAATGGAAAGTCTCCTCCCTGCCCAGGTTCCTTCCTGAAAACATTTAAGACATATACAGTAATTAATCCGCTAATTAATTATTCTAATCCACACAAAATGGATCCTACCACATGCTTTTCTGCACCTCTCTCCACCCTGTTAATAGTAAATGTAGGAGAGCGCTGCATATTAGCACAAGGATATCTACCTCACTCTTTTTTAAGGGCTGTGTAATGGTCCATAGTACGCATGATGATTTATTTAATCAGTGGGATACGTAGGCTGTTTCCACTTCTTTTTTTACTATGACAATTGATGCTACAATACACATCAATGTATAAAACATCTTGGTGACCTTTTGGGACTAGATCCAGAAGACACATATCTGGCAGAGGGATTGCTGAGACAAAAGGTATAGGCATTTTATTTTATGTTATTTTTATTTTATTTTTTAAAGATTTTATTTATTTATTTGAGAGAGTGTGTGAGTGAGAGAGGGAGAGAGAGAAGGAGAAGGGGGAGGGGCAGAGGGAGAAGGAGAAGCACACTCCCCACTGAGCAGGGAGCCCAGATGTGGGGCTTGTGGCTCGATCCCCAGACTCCAGGATCATGACCTGAGCGGAAGGCAGATGCTTAACCAACTGAGCCACCCAGGCGCCCCAAGGCATTTTAAATAGATATTTTGATAGATATTGTCAAACTGCCCTCTAGAAAGATCGTATCAATTTGTGCTTCCTCCAACAGTGTGTGAGAGGGCCCATTTCCTCATAGCTTCACCAGTACTGGGTATCATTAAGATCTCTCATTGTTTGCCAATCAGATGGGTGAAACATGGTAATCTATTGTTTTGATTTGTGTTTCTTTAAGAATAAAGTTGAGCATCTTTGCATGCTTATGGATCATTTGTGTTGATCTTAGAGAGTTGCCTCTTCATGGTCTTTGCCTGTTTTTTTCTGTTTTCCCTATTTTTGTCATATTGATTTGTAAAAAGCTCATGGGGCAAAAGAAGGAAATGCGTGCTTTCCCTATTGTATGTGTTCTATTTGTCATACATCTTTTGACTTTGTTTATGGTATTGTTTCCATATAGACAGGTTTTTTTTTTTTAAAGATTTTACTTATTTGAGAGAGAGAGCACAAGAGCATGAGCAGGGGGAGGGGCAGGGGAGAAGCAGACTCCCCGCTGAGCAGGGAGCCTGAGGCTGGGTTTGATCCCAGGACCCTGGGACCATGACCTGAGCTGAAGGCAGACACTTAACTGACTGAGCCACCCAGGCAACCCTCCATATAGACAGTTTTACATTTAATTTATCAATCTTCTTCTTCACGGCTTCTGGGTCTTGCATAGAAAGGCCCATTTCCATCCTGGGATTATAAATGAATTTATATAGATTTTCTTCCAAATCTTTTATGGTTTTACCTTTAAATCTTGATCCATTCAGAATTTTATTTTGGAGTAACAGTAAGGTTCTTCACTTTAATAGCCCCCCAAATGATTAGCCATTTGCCCCCCATTTATTAAATCTCTCTTATCTTTACTCTTTTGAAACACCAGCTTTATTATAAATTAAATTCCCATTTTGTTTATAGAAATTAGAGGGGCGCCTGGGTGGCTCAGTCGGTTAAGCACTGGACTCTTGATTTGGGCTCAGGTCATGATCTCAGGGCTGTGAGATTGAGCGCCACGTCAGGTTCCACCCACAGCATGGAGCCTGCTTAAGATTCTCTCTCTCTCTCCCTCTGCCCCACCCCCCCAAGAAAATAATAAATTAGAGGGTGTATTTCTGGATTAGCTGTTCTATTCCACTGTTACATCTATCTCTCCCATTTCTGGTGCCATACTGTTTCGTTACAGTAGCTTCATCGTATGTGCTAATATCTGAAAAGGCTAGTTACCCTTATTGCTCTTCTTTTCCAGAATTTTCCTAGCTACCTAGCTATTTTTGCCTGTTTATTTCTACAAACTTTACTATCATTTTGTGAAGTTACAAAAGCATCCAGTTAGCACTGAAATTGAGGTTGTCTTGAATTCATAGATAAATTTCCAGAGAAATGACATCTCCATAATATTGAGGCTTCTTTGCAGAGAGCACCATTTACTTAAATCTTTTTTATGTCCCTCAGTAGAGATTTTCTCCATATAAGTCTTTTAAAGTTTTTAGGTAGGTATTTTATCCTGTTGGTTGCTATTATAGGGAATCTTCGTATCTAGTAAACTCCCCTGGTGATTATTATGGGCATCGAAGACCAATGATTTAGAGCAGGGATACTGATTCATTTGGTCTAGAGTGGGACCTGGGCATTGGCATTAAAACCAAAAAGCTCTTCTGATGATGCTGATACTCTAATGTGCAAACAGGCTCGAGAAACTCTGAGTTAGGGAATTTTTCTGGAGCAGAGGAAAACTCCAAATCAATTCATGTCTGCCTATTAAACGCCCTTCTCCTTGGACCTTCCTTTTTTTAAATTTTTTTTTATTTTTATTTTTTTTAAAGATTTTATTTATTTATTTGACAGAGAGAGACACAGTGAGAGAAGGAACACAAGCAGGGGGAGTGGGAGAGGGAGAAGCAGGCCTCCCACCGAGCAAGGAGCCCAACACGGGGCTTGATCCCAGGACCCTGGGATCATGACCTGAGCCGAAGGCAGACGCCCAACGACTGAGGCACCAGGCGCCTTCCTTGGACCTTCCTTATACCCCATACAGCCCAAAGTCACTGCCATGCTGTCTACAGTTCTCGCCTGTCCCAGCAGCACTTTACCTTGGTCTTTGCTTCTACCACGAGGGCCACATCTTCAAGACGTATCCCGAATTCTCCATCCTGATAGTAACCAGGTTCTAGGAGACACAGAGATGCTGGTGGTATTAAGCAGGAGGAGGACCCAAGCCCATGTTTCCTGTACCAATCGAGGAGTGGCTGGAGGCCCAGCTGCCTGGCTGCCCCAGGCTCGGGCAGACCCACCACTGACCATGGGGGAGTCCAGGCCTTGTGGCCCAGCAGGGAAGACATAAAGGCTCACTTGGATCCTGGAGGCACTCCCATCTCCTGGTGTGCTACTATCTTGTTACCCCAGCGTTTGACTGGAGACTCCAGAGTTTGGATGTGCAGCCAGGAACCAACTCCCAAGGGCAAAATGAAGGTTTGAGCTGAAGGGTTTTAGGATTAGGGTGGGACAATGCATTTGGGGCTGGCAGTGCTGGAGCCCAGGGGGCCTGTGCCTGGCATGCTCCCTAGACTGCAGTCCCAGGCTGATCTTAGGGTGGGGAGGGGGGTAGAAGAGTCCAAGAGCCATACCGATGGAAGTGAACATGCCCTTGGCCATGGGGATGTTGCCAGACTGGAATCCAACTGGCCCTGGAAAAGGAGATGTAGGCATGGTGTCAACTCTCCCATACTCACCAGCTTGGAAACTAGCAGGCTCTGGGGAGGGGCAGGTAACTGGGGGAACCCTGGGGCATCTCTAGCAGCACTTGTCCACCACATCATTGTCTACCTGGGGCTGGTATGGAGACCAGATTGGCTCTGCTTTTTATTACTCTGATGTCTATGCCAGCCAACCGCTAGGCCTTGACCTGCCACTCCTCTCTGAGGCCCTCCCCGATGCCAAGCAGGCAGCAGGAAGGGCCAATTGCTACCATTTCTCACTTACCTTGTGGAGCATCACCTCCCACCAGCTGGGTAACCCTGGGTGGGTCACTGCATCTCTGCGGGTCTTAGTCATTTCCATACCTGTGAAATGCTCTACCTCCTTCATAAGAGGGGGGACCCCAGGGAAGTGTAGAAGAGACACCTACACTCGTGCACACACAGGAAGTTGCCAATGCCATGGCCTGTCCCGTGACCATAATTGAGCCCAACATCCCACAAGGCTCTGCGGGCAAAGATCTCCATCATTCGCCCTGGAAGAGAGATGGGCCTAATCAGTCGGCTGGACCCCAGACTGTCTGCTTTGCCCCTTCCTGCTCTCTTATCCCAGCGCCAACTACCAAGATGGTATGTGTGGAGAGTCGCTCCTGAGAGGCAGGTCAGCATGCGCTTTTTCCAGCACATCCTATGTCGTACCTACATTACCCGCACTGATGGTCCTACTGTAGTTTCTCCCCATCTATCAAGATACCTGCTTCCCCCGGAAATCCTCCCGTGACTGCTATAACCCACAGTGACCTCCCCCTCCCCAATGAGCTATAGTATTAGATTAAGAAGCAGGAGGCCTGGGTTCAAGGCTTGGCTCTCCCAGTGACCCCTCTGTGTGACCTTGGACAAGTTGCTTTCACTCCCTGGGCTGCTTTTTCTCATCTATATGATGGATGGGATGATGATACAATCCCTGCCCCACTAGCCTCCCAGGGTGGCTGTCTGGGTCCAGTGAAATCAGGGCCTGAGTCTCTGGGTCCAGCCTGGTTTCCAAAACCCACCTGATGTACTAGCAGGAAAGATGAGTCTGGACAGATCGATATTTCCTATCAACACGCGGGTATATGCCTCCTGATGGGAAGAGGGAGAGGTAACGTGCTGCGTAAGAGGAGGATCTTGGGAGTTTCCAGCTCCCAGGCCTACAGGGGGGCTGTGTTGGGGGGAAGGTGCATGGTCATGTGTGGTCATCCAGGTTCTGGAAAATGGTCAGAGGCAGCTGAGGGGTACCTGTTGAAAACTGGAGCTTGGTCCATGTGGTTCTCTTTGGCTGGTCCACAAGGGATCCTTATATATGGTGGGGGGCTGAGGCCTGACAGTAGGGAGTTGGGAGGCAAACTCCCTGAGCTAGAATCCTGACTTGGCCACTCACAAACTCTGAGACCTTGGGCAGGCAAATTTAACCGCTCTGTGCCTCAGTTTCCTCATTTGTAATGGAATGCTCACAGTACGAGCTCATAAGGCTGTTGGGAGAAGTAGGTAGACTCACGCACATAAGGTGCTTCAAACAGAGTAAATGTTCAAATAGAGGTCAGTGCCCTTATTACTGTTATGATCATCCTTCAGTTTTCTTAAGGCCTTATGTTTGGGTTGGGGCCTCATAATCTGGCAGGTCAGCCTTGCTTGCTTGGGCTGGTTCACCTTGTGGATAAAGGGAGGGAGGTGGGTTGACAGCGACCGCTTCACTCCTTGTGGCAATGTGGTCAGTCCCTTTCATCACACACACACACACACACACACACACACGCAAACACAGGCTTGTCATCTTGTGCAGGACAGCCTGGGGACTCAACCCACTAAACTGTGAGCTCCTCGAGACCTGGCCAGCTTTTGTTTTTTCTCTCTTTCCAGCACCACATCCGAGCCACAGTCTGCTTGCTGAATGCATGAATGCGGCGCCCTGCTCCTCACCCACCCAGAAGCCCCCAGTGCACACAGAGGATGTCCCAGCCTCTGCGCCAGGTGGACCAGCCGTCGCTGCTTTCTGAAAACCTCCAGCACCTTTCCACCTCCACACCTGAGCCTGCCTGTGCTATTTCTCTCTGCCCGGAATGCCTGTTTCCCTCCTTCCTGCTGCGCACAGGGCTAGGTACGCAGACAGCAGCAAGTAAGTATTTGTTCACTGACTTACTGAAATGGGATGATGAAGAGCTTCAGCTGAGGCCCTGCTGGAGGCCTGAAATATCTCTGGGGAAGTAGCCAGGAGCATTGGGTTTTCTGGTTCTAACTTGCTGTGTGACCCTGGGCAAACTACTTAACCTCTCTGGGCCTCAGTTTTAGCCTCTGTAAAATGAAAGGCTCTTGCTGGAGTGATTGCTTGGATGTCCCTTGGGTAAAGGTGGGTAGGGGAATTCTGGGTCCAACGCTTACCTTTTGGAAGGCAGAGGGGGTACCCCAGTGGACTGTTCTGGTGATGTCTGTGGTTCCATCCCTGTGGGCAAGGAAAATCAACATATACAGCTCTGCTGAATACTTGGGGGTTGGGATCGTGGCTGTGTGCTTCCCGTGTGCTTTCCACTGGGGTTCGAGTGGCAGGGGTGGGGTGGGGGTGGGGTGGGTTAGGGGTAAAGGAAGAACACAGATGCTATCATCAAGTTCCCATCTTCAGCATCTGTGCATAAAGGGACTCTGCAAAGCTATTAAGTTCAAAATCGCTATATTGTCTGACAATCCTGATCCCCCACATGCATAGTCCACCCCCATACCACTTATTCTGGCAGTTTTAGAAATCTGAGTTTCTTGGGTCAGCCTGGCTTTCAAAGCAAAGTTTCTTCCCAGGCTTTCAGGGAGGCAGGAGGGAGGGGAACGGCCCATTTTTACCAGTGGAGAAACTGAGGTTCAGAGAGATCATCACACTCTTACACATTCACATAGAACACTTTTGCAGCTCCCTGGGAAGGGCAGCAGAAGAGGCCACATTATCCTCATTTCCCAGATAAGGCAATTGAGGCCATGAGCCATCTCCCTTTCTGAGCCTCAGTGAAGCCAGGCCTGGAGCAAACAATGACTCTCTCCACAGTCCTCTCCTTGTAAACATGGATCTGACCCAAGAACTTGCTCAGAGTCCTAGGGAACTGAAGCCAGAAGCCAAAAAGTCTGACTCCCAACCACCAGCGGCAGCTGTGCCCCCAGATGGCCCCTGTGGCCACCACCAGGGAGGGGGAGGGGAGAAATGGTCCCAGGGCCCTGGGGATTCCTCCCTGGGAACAGGTCACAGGGCGTGGCAGACTTCTTCAAGAAGGACAGAAGAGGAAGTGAGGTGACCATTTCCTCGGCCTCACCCTGCTCAGAGCGTGCCCCAATCCAGCAACGCCCCACAAATCCACTTCCTCTTTGCACATTGGCCATCTCAAGTACACAGTACACACAATGCCAAACTGGGGATGAGCAAAGGCTGCTAGGCTAAGCTCTCGCGTTAGCTCCCAGGGCTGCGCTTGGAACAAGCGAAGAGCTGTTGTCATTAGCACATTTACCATTTCCACGGGATAGAGAAGGGGAACCGGTTTGAAACGACTCCTTGCTCCTCCATCAGTTCAGCACACCCCTTCCTCCCCCCAGCAGCCCCACCCAAGCTTTCCACAGTCCACTTGCTTCCTAGACGAGAAGGGGAAAAAGAAAATCTACTGGCTCATCTCATCTCAACTTCTGTGTGAACGGTTGGTCACACATTTGGAAAAATTGGGGTTAGCCTATTCTGCATGGCTGTCCTGTCTAGGTGTTCAGATTGTGCACTGTACAAGGGTAGCACAGGTACTTTGTGGTTATATAGGAATGCCAATGAGAGCACACAGGTGGACACATAGATCATGGGGTCTCGGAGCAGGGGGAGAGGGCCCTCCTACATAGCCTGACATGGTCACGCACACACTCAGGCCTATCTACTCACAAACGCACGTCCGTGCGGCTAGGTGTGCCCTGTTCTGGCTGGGCTCCAGGCATCCCCTGAGACTGCTTGCTGCTCTCAGAGGCCTGATCTTGCCTCCCCCCACCCCAAGCCCACGTGGTCACCTGGTCTGTGCGGTGCGGGGAGAATGCCTGCTGCTGGTGGTGTGGGGACCATGTCTGGGGTGCGCATGAGTAGGTGAGAATGTGCGTGCGGCGCCTGTGGGGCCAGGCAGGGCTGCTAAGCATGGCCACTTGGACTGTGTCATGATGTGCGGGCTCCAAGAACATTTTACTTGAGCAAGGAGAGGTGTTTCCTGATTCACACAGAGCTGCTGCACGGGCAGCCCCACCGTTTTGGCTTCTGTGTGTTTCCCACCGCGCAGGGGTCCCCAGGTGTGCAAATGGGAGCGATGCTCAGGCTCATTCCACCAGGGCTCTCCGTTCTCAGACAGAGGATTCACACCCAGGAAGGGGGAGCTGTGGCTGGGTCTTGGGAAGCCCCGGATGTCTGAGCTGAGGTAGTCGGCCAGGGCAGGGTGGGGAATACATACCAGTATTGCCCCCCAGAATCCAGCAGGTACATCTCATCTGAAGACAGCTTCCGGTGCTGCTCCTTGGTCGGACTAAGGAAGGGGAGAGCCACTGAGAAGGGGGCAGCCTAAGCCTGCACTGTGAAGGGTGGGGTGCCCTGAGTGGAAGCAGGGGAACCCCTCATCCCTTAATTCCCCAAGAGTCCTGGGGGAGTACTCGGTTGATGCTGCAAATGTACTCAGTGCACAACTGTTGATCTTGTACCTCACCGAGCAAGGCTCCCAGGAAGGGGAGAAAGGAAGGAGCCCAGAATGCGGGAGTCTAGAGAGCCTCAGAGAGCATCCAGGGCTGCCATCACCCCCTACATACGGAGACGCAGGCCTGCAGAGGCTCAGGGGCTTGCAGGAGGCTGTGTGGTAAAGCTGGGAAGGAGCTGAGCCTGGACCCAGATGCTCAGTCCAGTGCTCTCTCTCTAACTTTCTGTGGCCCCTGAGAGCAGAGGGCCCTGAGAAGTCAAGACACAGGAAGGGGAGGGGGGGTCCTCGAGGGTGGGGCTGGAGAACAAGAGTTGGTAGGGCCAAGGAGTTCCTCCCCTGCTACTCTCTAGGAGGCAGAAGGGGCTGGGCCAAGGCAGCTGCAGGCTTGGGAGACTCTAGGGGAGGGAATTCTGGGATAGGCCAGGCTGGCCCATGGAGGGCATCTGATCTCCCGCTATGCCCGTGCCAGGCTGAGGCATTCTGGTCAGCTTGGGTCCCCAAATTCCATCAGGCAGGCCTGCAGGTGTTTGTTTTCTATGGACCCAAACATCTGGTTAGCCCACCTCTGGGCCCACCTTCGTTGGCTCAGGCTGAGTAAACAGGCCTTTTTCCCTGTGTATTCGAGAGCTTTAAGAATTAGCTAATATAAATAACTCACAGGAAGCCAAGGAAAACCAACAGCAGCCCTGCCTCCCTTCCAGATCCCTCAGCCCTGTGTGCTCCCCTTCTCAGCCTTTTGTGGTAGAAAACTGCTCGGGCCTTTTCATTCCAAGAAGACTCCTGATCCCTGACTGAGCTCCACTGCCCACCAGTAGCCCCCACAGTACTGAAGGCCTCAGACCTTCAGACCTCACACCCCCCTACCCCCCTGCACATACCCCAGGATCCCGCCCCACAGGGCCCTAGAAAATTCCTTCTCCTGAAGTACCTGTAGTGGGCCAAGGCAGCGTTCAGGCCACTAGCAGAGATGGTTTCGAAACTAGGTCCCGAGGAGAATGTTTCCTCTCTAGAAAGTACAAGGCAGGAATGGTCAACAGACGGGCTCAGAAGCTAGGCTGGGCCCAGGATATCGAACCAGGGCAAATGAAGGTCATGGCTGCCTCCACCTCAGCCAGACTCCATTTGGCGCTCCCAGCCCCACCTCCCAGTGCCATCTTCCCAGGCTCCAGTCTGTCGGTGACTGAACATTCAAGGTCAGAGAAGGAGGGACTGTAGACACCAATTATCCCCCTCCACCTCCATTTCTCAGATGGGGAAGCCAAGGCCCATTGTCCCACAGTAAGTTCGTGGTAAAGCCAGAGTAAAGAAACCTAGCTCCTCGTGTCTGAACGCTTCCCCAGCCCCAGAGCAGCATCCTGTGCCTCAAACCTACACTATGCTTATGGCCTGGGCCAAGCGTGCCCTCTGGGAACGTCGCTCCGCAACTTGATATTTTCAAGTGGTCCAGGAGCCCCACCTGGCCCGACCCAGCCTCCGCGTAACCCGCCCCCCTGCCCCCCCCCACCCCGGGGAGAGAGGGTCTGTGCCTGAAGCAGACACTAGGGGGCACTGATGGGTTGTGGCCCTTCTAGTTGTCCCGCTTTCAGCAGGGGGCCGGGGACTGTCGCGCGGAACACGCCCTGCCCAGCTCCCTGACTACCCAAGGACCTGTTACTCCTTGTTCCAGAGAGCTCCCCCCACCGCCCCGCAATACAAGGAGGTGGTTCTTCACCCGCGGAACTGGTCCAGCAGCTCTGCCCCTGAGAACTCATCCACCGTGCCCTTGGGGACGTTCTTCTCCAGCCAGACCAAGTAGCGGATCACAGCCACGGCGTCCCGTACCTGGAGCGGGCAAGCAGAGCAGAGGGGCGGGCTGACGAGTGCTCAGAGTGTTTGCAGCCAGGGCTCCGGGATCAGGGGGATCAGCTGGCTGCCCCAGGAGCTGAGCTCCACACACTCGAGGGTGTGCTGACTGTTTGATGATGTTAAGGGGTTCTTGGGCAAGTTTATATATGATCATAGTGTGGTTAGGTTTTGAAAAGAGTTCTTAGCTTTCAGAGATACTTACTGAAGTGCTATCTTTTAGAGATGCTAAAGTGTCGACAGAAGAAACTGTCTGATACCTGGGATTTGCTTTAAAACCATCCAGCGACAGAGGCTGGGCTTGTAGGCAAGGAATGTGGCCTTACATGGGCGAACCGGCCACAAGCCGCAAAGCGGTGAAGCCGAGTGAGGGGGCAGGCGATCATTAGGCTGGTTTCTCTACTTTCGTATATGTTTAAACTTTTCTATAAGAAAAAGTTTTGTAAAGTGAGGCGATTTCTTCTCGTTTCAACAGGAATATCCAAAAGAGCAAGCCATCCTCTTGCCAGGGTGGGAAAATCAGGACAGCAAACACTTACTTAACACTTGGAATGTGCCAGGCAGTGATCAAAGCAATATATATATATAAAATTCAATATAATTATACTTATGTAAGTATATAATTCTGTTTATATGTATATAATTATATATTTATAAACTCATTATATACTTATATAAGTACATATTTCTATTTATATGTATATAGCTATTATATGTATTAAAATATTAATATTACTTCTATATTTTATAGATATTATATATTATATAACATATATGTTTATTTATCAATTTAATCCTCACCACAACCCTATGCTGTAGATTCCTGTTAACGATACTCATTTCGCAGATGAAGTAACTGAGGCCCAGGGAGGTGAAGCAACTTGCCCAAAGCCACCCAGCTGGGAGGTGGGTAGAGGAGCTGGAATTTGAATTCAGACACTCTAGCTTCGGGGCCCAGGCTCTAGACCACGGTACCAGGCTGGGAATAAGGGGGTGAAGCCCAGGTGGGTGCTCAGGAGTCTGGTGTCCACTTCTCTGTTTCGTGGAGCTTCTTTGGGTTCCTTGGCAGGGTCTCCTTTCTAACTCATCAGACCAGGAGTTCCCAACAGGCTTGGCTGCCTGCCCGTGACTTACATGGCTGGCCCTGAGGAGGGCCTGCTCCTTGCTGTTTTTCATCGCCTTCGTCACCATCACCGGGGAGTAGGTGTCTCCTATGAGCTTCTCCTGTCATGGGCAGAGAGGAGGAGGTCGGGGAGCATCTCCAGGGCACAGTGGGGTTTGAAAAGGATTGGCCAGAAGGTCCAGCTAAGGCGAGGTTTACCATTCCCTATAGTGGCAATGACCTTTCCTTCCTGTGCTTTCTGGCTGCCTAGGTCTCTCCCTGTCTTTTGTGTCCAGCTGAATCTTACCTCCCTCCCCCGCTCCTGCCCCTGGATCCCAGCAGCACTCTGGGATGGATCAGAGCCTAGCCCCTGCCACTCAGTGGGCTATTCTAACAACGTGAGTTTCCTGCACATATCCTATCATAACAGATAACATTTATGGAGCGCCTGCTGTGTGCCAGGCACCGGGCTTCACATGCACTATCTCCTCTAATCTCTTCAGAGCAACTCCTCTGAGGTCAGGGCTCTTACTGCCATTTTGCAGGTAAGGAAACAGAGGTCCAGACTAGCTAAGTCACTTGTCCAAGATCATGACGCAGTCAGTTCAGGGCAGAACCAGGACTCAGTCTCAGGTTTGGCGACCTCAGAGCCTCTGTGCTACAAGGCTGTACTCCCTGTGGTCTCCTTGACAACCTCCGAGCTCTCTGAGGATAGATATCTGCTTCCTCTTTTTCCATCTCTTCCCAGGGAGGCCTAGAAGGGGACTGACCAACTGCCTGAATGGCTGAGGGGCTGTGGCCCCACTTTAGGTTGAGACTTACCAGGGCTGGAGTGGGCGGGTGGGGGGTGCTGCCTGGCCTGGGGAGGGGGGGGCCTGGCAAACCTACCGTAGGTATCACTTCGTAGAGCCCGTATGTAGTATAGCTGGTCCCAATCCAGATTTTCACATCTCCGGAGGCGTAGGTCTGGACATTGCTACGGACCTGGCTGTAATCTTCGAGTTGCACACACATGGAGCCCGTGCAGCTGGAGTTCAGGTACTTCCGGGTCTCAGAGTCAAGGCAACTCTTGTTTATAAATAACCTGGGTGGGGAGGGAAGACCAGGAGGGGATCCTGAGGGTCTCTCAGGACAGCGCAAAGGACAAGGATCCCTTCGTTCCTGGAGGTCAGAGGAACCCTCCCAAGGAGCCAAGCAGACCAGATTTGGAGTGGGTGGGAACAGAGGTCAAGGGGTCAGGAAAAGCCGACTGGAAGCTTCCCTGCTTGGGGGCAGGCGGCAGGCGGCAGGCGGCAGGCAGCAGGCTCCTGGGAGGGCTGCATGTTAGGGCAGGGTAAGTGGTGGGGCAGGTGAGGGGCGGAAGTTGGGGGAAGTCCTGGAGAGCAAGCCGAGGAAAAGCCGTACCTGATAGAGGAGTCCGTGAGCAGTGTGTAGGAATAGAAGAAGGGGTTATAAGGGATGTCACTGCCGCGGAGGTTGAAGAGCCCTGGGGAAGAGAATTGATGGGCACTTTTTGAGGCTGATCTGCCTGAGGCAAGTCCATGTCCCACCTTTGCCCCACCGTTTGCTTTGGCCCCCCAAAGATTCCCAGCAGTAAGCCTGCACATCTGCCTCTGAATGTTTCTCAGGTATTTTTTTTGCGGGGGGGGGGGAGGTCTTTGAGGCACTGATGAGAGTTACAGACCCTTCCTCCCAGAAAAACGAAGATACCCAGCCAGCAGTCAGCATAGTTTCAGTGGGTTCCCAGCAAATCTGAAGCCCAGAGCTGGGGTCAGGTAAGAAGCCCTGAGCCACACTGGGACAGAATCAGGCGGCAATGGGTGCTAAAGCTGGGGGTATGAACGCCCCGGGCTGGTGGCCAGGCTGATGGCAGGTGTCAGCTGGGACCCTTTCCCTTCATGAGACAGCTTTTGCCGCTGTGGTCAGCCCATTGCTCTGACGGCCTGTGGGCTGGCTCCAGCTTGCTTGGGCCTCCTGGTTTTCTTATTCAGCAGACGTGATCTCCTGCCCCCTAGCTTTCTCAGTTCCCACAGGCCATGGCCACGGAGTGAAGCCTGGGTATATGGTGACTGGGGGCGGAGTCCTGGGCTGCAGGGCCCAGGAGGCATGGGGGTTGGAGGGACCCAGGTGCCCACCCCGTGTCCACAGGTCCATACTCACAGGCCGTCTCATCGAGCGCCGACAGAAGGACGGCAGTTGGGCCCTTACGATGCTTCTGCATCTGGCTGCGGATGCCAGCTACCTTCTCCTGCCAGGGGCTCCCTAGAAGCAAAGGAGCCCAAAGAAAGCATAAGCGACGTGCTTTCCCTTTGGCACGCTGTTCCTGAGAGGGCTTCCTTAGGGCAACCATTTTCCATGTCTTTCAAAGCAACAGAAACATTCCTCCCAACAAACTCTCACTTGTGTAGCTGTTAAGGACACGGACTCTCTGGACCGACTGTCTGCGTTCCAGTTCTGGCCCTGCCATTACTAACTGTGCGACCTTGGACAAATTACTTAACCTCTCTGTGTCTTATTTTGCATGCCTGTAAAATGAGGATGGATCATCATATGATAGTATCTAGTCAATAGGGTTGTTATGGGGATCAAATGAATTAATATTTGTAATGCACACAGAACGGTGTCTTGGTGTATGGTAAGCCCGGTGTAACTTTCTAATCAATAAATAAGCATGCAGAACAGAGGTCAAGAGAGCAGCCTTAGTTGAAGGGCGAAGGGATCAAGCTAGGTCATGTTCAAGCCTCTTTTCTGAAATAACCTGGTGCCTAATTAGCCACGGGTCCTTGAACATTGTTTTAATCCCTCTTTGACCCATTTTATAGATATTAAGACTTCGGGAAGGAAAAGTGACTCGTCTAGGTTTTCCTAGCTAGCAAGGGGTAGAGCTGAGATTTCCACGCGGGTCTGTTTGACTACATGGCCCACCCTCTTAGTCTATATGGACTCTGGGCTCTCTTGCTAACACAGTCAGTCCCCAGACTTGTCCTGAAACTCTGTGTCACAGAGCTGCCCTTTCTAGGATGCTTGTACCCTGGTTCTAGTTTTCATCTTTTATTCCTACTCTCTGCAATGCAGATGAAGAGTTTGCCCCTAGGCAGGGCTCAGAATTTGCTGGCAGAAGGTCATAAACATTAAGGGTCCCAGTTGGGCTCAGAGATCAGGCATGAGTAACTTAACGCCATTTAAAAAAGCTTTATGCAAACAGGTAAAAACTACTCAACCAGAGCCGGAGCTTTGGGTATGATACCTTTCAAGGATTATTTTATTTTATTGTGGTAAAATACACATACCGTAAAATTTTATCATTTTAGCCATTTTAAAGTGGCTAAAATTCATTCAGTGGCTTTAAGAACATTCAGACGATTGTGCAACCACCATCACTATCTAATTCCAGAACATTTTTATCATCCAGAAAGGACCTTGTAGCCAGAAGCAGTCACTCCCCATTCCCCTCCCCGTTCAGCCCCTGGAAACCACTCATCGGCTTTCCGTCTCTACGGATTTGCCTATACTGGATATTTCATACAAATGGAATCATACGCTATGGGGGCTTCTCTGGATTCTTTTGCTTAGAATCCTGTTATCAAGTTTCATGAATCTGCGACAACAAATGAAAGCGAATTTAAATTGCCTGACGCATACAGGTATCTTTGAATAATTAACTTTTCACATTCTCTTTGCCCTTTGCCCCCTTTAAAGCCTATCAGTTGCTGGAGAGAAAGTCTGGCCTGTCTCTGTAAGCTTATAGACTCAAGAACTCTTATGCTTGGGCTTCCAGGCCCAGTTCCGGCTCTGGATGGCTCTTCCTTGAAGACTAGCAGCCTATGAAGGCTCAGCATTCCATCACTTGTGGGCAGTGACAAATCCCATATGAATTCTCCCTCAGTCCCTGGAAGGTCTCCCCCCTCTATCCCTTCCCCTTTCCGACATAACTTCGCCCTTCTTTATCTGAAAGGGATGAGTTTTATTTATGATGACACAGTCTTGGATAGCAAGTTTCTTTAAAAACTTTTTCAAGATGCAGAATGATTCTGCAAGTTCTATCAGAACGGATAAAGAAAATTGGGCACAATTTTAGCTTGTTTCATCATCCTTGCTTTTTTGAAATTTCCCTCCTGCTTTCTTGACTCCTTTTCAAACAAGAAATGTACACGGACTTGCGTGCGGAAAGGGGCCTCTCGGATTGCCCAATATTCCTAGGAATCCAAGTCCGTTGGCTCTTTCGGAATTCCTGGGGAGGTAGGGGGTGGTGGTGGCCAGGATGGTGATTCATCATCAGTAGCCTGGTCCTGGTCAGGATTTTAGTTACTACTTACCAGAATCATAGAGCATGCTGTTCTTTTATGATGTATTTAGATGGTATCAACGACGTCAAGATGAAGATTATCGATGTTAGAATTTGGGGGGTCAGTTAACTTTCCTTTGTGGTCTGGCCAAAACCTGAACCCTAATTTGTGCCATGGATTGACCCTGAGCTTAGTTGTATACTTCCTTTGTCAGCCGGCCCACCTGACCCTAATCATCTTACTACAGGAGGGCTGGAAGTCAAGGTTTGAATGAATCAATAGAAACCGGTCTCCACTACCAGAGAAGCAACTCGTACCATGTTTTTTATTTTTTCTCTTCAAAGGGGTAAGGTTTTTTTTTTTTTTAATCTTGCTCCGACTCCCTTGTTTCTTCCCTTCCTGCTCGCTCTTGCTTTAAATCCTAACACTATTTATTCCAGCATTTTCTAAATATGGTCTGAGGACCTTTCGATTCAGACTCTTTGAGATGAGGGGGCCCAGACGTCTGCTTTTTAAATAAGCATCCCAGGCAATTCGGGTGCACAGGAAGGTTTGAGAGTCGCTGCTTGGGTAATTCCCAGGACAACATTTTCAGCCAAGGAGCAGCAGTGGGGACCCGTGTTGCTTCAAGCTGGGAAGAAGGAGCTTAGGGAAGCACCTGTGAATGCGTCCTGCAGGGCATAAATGGGCTGGCTTGGAACCAGAGGCTTCTCTGACTCCCACGCCAGGTCCACAAGGTTGGCTGTGATGGACACCAGTTGTATGTTAGAGTTTTTGAGGGCCATGTCATAACTCTCCCAGGAACCTGCAGAGACAGGAAGCCGTCACTCGTCCCCTGCCTGTTTACACCTCAGGAAAAACTGTGACTCTGGCAAAATTAGTCCTTGTCTGCTCTGCCTCCCACTCCACTCCTGCCACCTCAGCAGCCTAGAGCAGGCCCAAGCAGGCTGGTCCTCCTGGGGTGTGACCTCCCAGCCACCTCTCACTGCCTGGGGCCCACCCCAACACTGCCCACAGCCAACTGGCTAGGCTTATCTTTTCAAGTGCCAATGGCCGTTCGGCCCTCTTCTCAGGACTATCCATTTTAACTGAGCATCCATGCCACGGCCCAAAGGAATGGTGATGTTCACGTCATCAGAAAGGCTGGCAAAGAAGCCAGTTCTGAAGGGGGAGCCTTTAGGTACATATTCATGAAGACTCCACCCGTGGGGGCAGGCTGGCCATCTGGCTGGGACCCCAGAGCTCAGGGAGCTATATTCCTAGAGTGGGGAGGGGGTCATGCTCCTTTGCTCAGAAACCCACTGAACTCCTTTGATCTTCCAAGCTGCCTTCCAGAAGAGGGCTCCCAAATGATTCCAGTGCCATAATTGGTAGAGCTCCAGAGCACAGAGGATGGTTCTGGGTTCAAGAACATCCTGGCCTATTGTCTGCTAGATCTTAACGATTCCCCAAGTCTTCTAGGTTGGGTCTCTGTACTCATGACTTAAAAAAAAAAAAAATCTGCATTCATTCTTTTAAATGTATTTTCATTTCACAATCCATGAATAAATTTTTGTTGCAAAATATTCGGCAACTACAACTTCAGACACTCTATTTAGAGTCAACCTGTCCCTCCTTCTACCAAGGTATGCTTCTTTACATCCCAGAGGGGCTGAGTCACCCTTGTTGGTGCGGACAAATGCAGGAATGAGGGAAGAACATACCAATGGAGAAGAGAAAGGGGTCGAAGCCCACACTCCCTCCGGCAGGAACCTCAGTGAGGAGCCAGGTGGTGATGGAAGTTATGTCAACTGAGAGGAAGACAGGAAAGAACGTAGAGTCACCTCCAGAGCCAGCCCCAGGCCTTCCAGTCAGATTTCTGTCTATGACAGTCCTACCATATCTGTCCTCCTTGATGTTAGCCTCAAAGATTAGGGATGGCTTCAGATTTCCAGAGTCTCCCATAGAAGCCCATCATGGCTTTGCAGGCATCCCCTTACCTGTGCCGTCTTGAACCTAGTCCAGGTTTCAGAGTTTGGGGGACATGCGACCCTTTTACCTTCTTTATGTAGCTCCCAGTTGCAGTCCATCTGCCGCTCAGCCTGGGTCCAGTAACGACTGTCGGTCCAGAGACCTGCCTTCCCCATGGTCACCACTGCAGTTCCTGGGGCAGAACAGAGAAACTTGGAGGTGAGGATGAAGGTGAGGAAGGTGGTAATGCATGGGCAATATGGTGCTGGCTCTGAGAATGTCACAAGGGGCCTCTGGAAAGAATTTCTCTCCTCCATTGCAAAGAAGTGAGGCAGGAGACATTAAGGGGAGCCCTGGGGGAAGCCAGCCTGGGCATCTCTGCTTTATGTTGAGGGCCTCTCCTAAGGAGGGAAGAGTGGGGTCCACTTCTGGCAGTCCCAAAGAGTCAATGCTGCATGGAGGTGCTCTCAGGAAAGATGGTGTGGTAGCTAGCATCAAGACTCAGTGGCTGATAGGGCCACTAAACCAGGGGCTTAGCTCAAGACAGGCAGAGGAGCCAAACCCAGGGATTTTGGCAAGGATGGGTAAGGCAAGGGAGCATGAAGCCCCGGGGAAGAATGTTCAAGGATCAGCAAGGGAAGCTTGGATTTCATTCAAGGGGCTGGGATCAGGCTGGAAGGCCCCTTCAGAAACTGGGACCCCATAAAGGGCCTCTGTGTTTGCATCTCATTTGGCTACGTGAGGTGTCCCCAAGTGAGCCATGTGTGAAGGAATCAGTGGGCCCCTAGTGGCTGGATGTGGACATAGCATCTGTTCCAGAAATGGCGCCCAGGGTGTGCTAAGCTAGGCCTGGCTGCTGCAGGGACGGTAAGCGCAGGAACAAAGCTGGGAGGACCATCTGCCTTGTGCAGAAGTGTGACTGGTGGGCTATGATGTGTGCCCTGGCAACCCTTTTCAGAGTGGGGGAGGGCAGGCAGAGCCTCTGGACACTAGTCCTGGCATCCTGGCTTCTGAGAACTGGCCATATCAGAGCCTCTGTGACCACGTCTGGGTCTACCAACAGAAGCAAGAAGGGCTGGGTAATGGCTCTCACCTGCAGACCCTGTAAAGCCCGTAATCCACGCACGCCTCTTGTCGCGATTGCCGATGTACTCACTCTAGGAAATCAATAACACCATCGTTAGCTGTTTCCATGGCGTTAGACCCCCCGCACCCCATGGAAGACTCCCCCAACCACATCCCAGTTCTTTCTGTCTGGTCGAATCCAAGCCCAGGCACGCTGGGCACCTCTTCCAGGAAGTCCTCTGTCACTCCTCCAGACCTCAGATCTCCCCTTCCTTTGGACAGCTGTATTTCTCGGAGTCTAAATCCCATAGTCTAGCACTGGGCAGAACAGCCAAAGAATCTCATCTCCCTGGCCAGAATGCAAATTCTGTGCAGTCTGAGATCATGTCTTCTGGTTCTTCTGGGTTCTCCCCTCCAGCTGTCCCGCTCCTCCCCAGTACAGAACACTGGGTACATCATCAAGAACTTCTGCAGAGGGCTTCACACATTATTGTATTTTGATCATCATCCTTCAAGACAGATCTCAATATTTCCATTTTGCCGAAGAGGAAACTGAGGCTCAGAGACGTTGAGACAGGTGGGAAACAGAAGTTTCCCAAGGTGGGAAAACAAACTCAAACAATCTTATTAACACTGACAATGCCTTGTCTTCCAAACAGGCTAGTGCTGGGAAGGTGGCTGGGATGGAGGTGGGACCAGTGGTGGGGAAAGGGTGGGTTGGGTGCGCAGGGGCGCTGCTTGGGGGAAAGCAGTTCTTACTCAGACAATCTTGTTTCCTGTCTGCTCCCCTCCCCCAACCTACACCTCAAACTCTTGTAGCCCGGGCCTCTGGATCATTCCAATGCTCCATCCATCAGGTTATGGGAAGGTTAGAATTCCTCCAGTCCAATTCCGAGCCCACACTCTAACCTCCTAGGGCCAGAGTACCCTAAACATTCATTCTGGATCTGCCAACTAAGAATTGATCAAAATCGATTCTGAATTTGTTGGCAGTTTCATTGCCCAAAGTCAAGGAGATTTGGCAGTGTCTTCTCTCCTGTGTAAAGGAATACATTCTCTTAGCTGCCTTAAAACTCCCATGTCCAAGCCCCCTCCTTCCTTCCCTTCGCCTTTTGAATCCTTTCTCTGCCTTCATCTTCTGAGACTTGATGGCCTCTGGTTTGTGACCTGTTCTCATTGGTGGTCGACCCAGGATAGCAGAGGGCAAGGGTGGAGGAGGAGCTGTCCCTCACCATATGGGCATCCGTTTCGGGGATGATGTAGGCAGAAAGATTCTGGACGCGCATCTGCTGGCGGAGGGCTGTGAGCTGCGCCGTGGTATTGACCGCAGTAACTGGAAGGTACTGACAGGTGACAGGAAGACACCAAGACACACACACAGACACACACTGCTTAGAGAGAATCATGCCCGGGCCCCAGCGTGCGGAGGGGCTGCCACCTTCTCCTTAGGCAGGTGTTGGGGGTAGGTAGGCTGGGCCAGCCTGGAGAGGAACGGGGCGGCAGCTGATGTTACAGGTTAGTCTAGATTAAGGGGCCTGGGCTGAGCCGGAGATGGAGGTGTTGAAGAACTTGGAGAGGAACTCCTTGTGACAAAAATGGGACCTGAGTCTGGGGTGGGGGGCATGGCTGAGAACTGTGGGAAGCCAAGCCCTGGCACTGGGCCCCGCTAGAGGGATGGTCTTTCTCGGGATACCTTGAAGGCAGAGGTGCCAATCTGGCAAATCAAAATACAGGATATCCATCCAGTCACATTTGAATTTCAGACAAGCAACATACAATGTTTTAGAATAAGTATGTCCCATGTGCTATTTGGGGCATACTTAAACTAAAACACATATTCATTATTTGAAATTCAGATGTAAGTGGGCGTCCTGTATTTCATCTGGCAATCCTACGTTGGGGACTTTTTCGAGTTTCCACTCACTGGTCCCAAATGGCAGAGGGGAGTGAATGAGTACCCCCAGCAGTTTGGGACATTATCCAGAAAGATCCCCCTCTAAGCCAGACATTTCTTTAAAGTCTGGTTTATCTTTAAAATGAAAAATGTGTGGGGCGCCTGGGTGGCTCAGTTGTTCAGCGTCTGCCTTCGGCTCGGGTCATGGTCCCAGGGTCCTGGGATTGAGCCCCGCATCGGGCTCCCTGCTCCGCGGGAAGCCTGCTTCTCCCTCTCCCACTCCCCCTGCTTGTGTTCCCTCTCTCGCTGTGTCTCTCTCTGTCAAATAAAGAAATAAAATCTTTTTTAAAAAATTAAAAAATTATTTTTTAAAATTTATTTTTAAAATTTTTTATTTTTTTCATTTTTAAAAATGTTTAAATTTTTTAAAAAATTAATTTAAAATTTTTTTTTAAAAGTGTGGGTTTTTTGTTTTACCTTCTGCTCAATGACATAGCCATGTTTGTTTTCATATAAAAACCCACCCACCTGCCTGCCCCAGTGGTCTCATAAAGTTGACGCTGCAAGCAGATGTACCCCATTGGGCCTGAGGCTTAGGGGACTGCTGGCAGCCCACCAGCTTTCACCTCCGGCCTGCCCCGGCTCGAGGAAGCTCTTTCGCCCTAATCTGGTTGTGGAAAGAATCTTCTGGTCTCCAGGTAGGAAGCCGCTGACCTTTCAGCTCCAATATGCCTGGCCTTCTCCCCAGTCACACCCTAGGCCTCGCTCTCCTCCTTTCCGCCGGCTTTTCTAGTTCTGTCTTCCTCCCTCCTCCCTTCTGTGCCTCCCTCCGCGCTGTTCCTTTAGAACTTTTCTTTCCTTCCATCCTCCTGCTTGCCTCTGCCTAGCCTCCGCCCAAAGGCTAGCTAGGGGCCTCCATCCTCCTTCCCGCCCTCCCCCCCCTCCCCCCGCCCCCAGTGGGGCGGCCCAGGCCAGGACGGAAGTAGATATCCTGCTGTGGGATAGGTGGGTGGGTAGGAGGGAGGGATGGGGGATGTCAGACACCTGAGAATGTGCTGCTCGCCCTGAGGGATGTTAATCAGAAACAGGGGCCCCAGAGTCCGGAAGTCAGGAGAAAGCCTGGTGGAGGGAAAGGCCTGCAACTGAGCCTATGGGGGATGGGAGGAGATGGGAGCTGAGGGGCGGGGCCGGGGCGGGGCCTTACCGGAGGGCTGAGGGAACAGTTTCTCACATCCTCTCCTCTCAGGTCCACTTGTTTTGGGTGGCCCCAGGCACCCAAAGCTAGAAACCGGGGGAAAAAATTCAGGGTCACTTGGAGACCGGTTAGCTTCTAGAGAGCACATGGACTTGGTCTCCTAAATCGCACTCCCCGTCCCCACCGGGTCTCCATCCTTTTAAACAAGCAGTGCTGTCCAACTCGAGGATAAAAATAATCACATTTCATAGGAAATTAGGCGGAATGGGTTGGCACCCTGGGTCACAATCAAAGAAACCTGTTTCATCGACAAGTGATTGCCACTTTTGCAGGGGTTTTAGTGCTCATTAAATCAATTTTTCCCTTCTAATCTAATCGGGTCTTTTCGGGGTTTACCGAACTGTTGTGTGTAAATTAAATTGTTGTAATCACATTTTCTTTGAAATGCTCTAGAGGATCTTGCTAAATAATCACCCCACCTTCATTTTACCCTTCTATAAATCTAATTTTATATATATTGGGTTTACTTAAATTCAAGGCCCACTTGTGCCATATATTACAATCCAAATCTCGGGCTCTCATTTCAGGCCCATTTTAAATACATAAAACAGTTGATCCCAGTCTGACACCGTCGCCTGGTGGAGAAAGGTAGGTTAGCATTTAAAGATCTTCTACTATGTGCCAGAGCTCAGTAATTTATCTATAGTATCTTATTATTCTATACTTGGAACAAGCCCGTGAGGTGGGTATTACCGTCTGTTTTCTATAGAGGAGGAGGCTGAAGCCCAGACAGGTTTGGTAACTCGTCCAAGTTTTACCGCAGTGAGTCAGTGGTAAAGCAAGGATTTGAACCCCGGCCATCTGAGTACAAAAAGTCAACCCTTCCACGGAAAGGACAGAGTATATGAAGACTTAGTTTCCAATTTGGGCTCTGCCCCAAATTCGGTGTGATCCAAGGAGAGTCACCCAGTATTCACTGGCAAACATTTCCTGAGTACCTACTGTGTGTCAGACACTGGGCTAAGTCCTACAGGCTCAGGGCCTTCCAGCCCCGAAAGTCCTGTGGTCTCTGCTAGTCCTTCCCTCCAGCCCCCGGATCTCCTCAGAGCGTAATGGGGGCCTGGGTATGGGGAGACACCGTACTTTTACTTTCTGAGTGAGTTGAGCTACGGATAGGAGGGTGGCTGGCATCTAACACCATAAATACCCTGCCCGGCTGTCTTGGTCTCATAAACTCAGTGGGGAGATGAGACCCATACGGTTGATCTAAGAAAATGATCCCGTTTCTGTAGGAAGAGATCGTTGGCAAAATGGTGATGCTGAGATGCCAACACGAGAAGCAAGATTCCGTCAACCTGTGTCCCTCGGGACACCCAGATTGCTGTTCTCTGAGGCCGGGGCTGTGGCTCCCAAGGGCAGGCTGTGCGGCTGAATCTCTCTGTGCTCCCTGACACAGGGCCTGGCACTGGGGAGGTGCTCAGGAATTGGGTGCTGACGGACTGAGCCAGGTCCTGCTGATGGAGAGGGAAGGGAAGGGAGGCCTCCCTAAGGCTGGGGTGGAGTGGGTGTGGAGGGCACTGAGCTGGGCATCTCGTTGTGACCAAAGAGGAAAACAGGGCACTAGAGGAGTGACAAAGACCGAACTTTAGTTGCCTAACTAGTTTAGTTTAGTTGCCTTCGAGCCTCTTTACTTGGGTTTGACTTGGTCCATGTCCATCTTGTCCTTGCTGGGCCTGCCTCACCCAGTCCTCAATAAGAATCTTGCTAAGCCAGTTTAGAGACAATCCCCCACCCTTAATATCTGATCACCTTTGCTATCTGATCAAATTCCTCATCCTTCACCCTTTGTATCTCTTCACCCTGGCCTGCCTCCAGCAAGGATCCTATTAAGTTGGCTTAGCGAGAACCCCCCCACCCCTGATGTCTCCTCTTAGTAAGTAATTTTCCATCCACAGTCCCCCTCCCTCTGTTCGTTGGCTGTAAGTCCTCAGCCATCTTTGCTGTGTTCAGAGTTGAGCCCGATCTTTCTCCCCTATTGCAGTGCCCTTATTGCAATAGTTCTGAATAAAGTCTTCCTTACTCTTAACAAGTGCCAGAATCATCTTTTCTTTAACAGGTGGGAATGGGAAGGTGCCAAGCCAGACTTGACCTGAGTCTGGAGGACCCCAAGGACTGGCCCCGGGGCTCCTCTTTCTCAAGACAGAGAGGAGGACCAAGAGAGAAAGAGACAACCTGGGCCCCACCCCTTCCTCCAACCCTTTCTGAGCCCAGAGGGGAGAGGCCAGAGCTGCTCTCCAGCTGGACCTGCCCTCCCGGCGTGGGAGGGAGGGACCAGGATGCACATACCACAGAGGAGGACAAGCCAGGGGCAGCAGCCCCAGCGAGCCCGGGCCATGGGGTCTCCAGATGCTGGTGCTGGGTGGATGGAGGGATGGGGGGGAAGGGGCAGGGCTGTTTCCCTGGCCTCTTCCTCCAAGCCTTCCCAGGACAGGAGCAGCCAGGGGGCTGGGGCTGGCGATGGGGAGGAGGCGTCCGGCCAGGGGATGGAGAGTCCCGCTCTGGTCTCCTGTATCTGAGGGCTCCAGGGAGTTGGGTGTCGGGAGTCCGGGTGGGTGGGGAAGCTCGCGCTCTCCGAGCCCGCCCCGTGCGGAGTCCAAAGATCCCGGGGCAGAAGAGCAGCTGCTGGTCTCCATCAGCCTGCTCCTCCCCCCTGCCCCCTCTTCAGCAGCCCGCCCCCGTCATTCCTGAATTCTGTCCCCCTCCTTCCAGCAAGCTGTTTCCCATTAGCTCCCCCACCCCAGGCTCTGGCTCCGAGAGGAATGTTTATCCTTCCTCCTCCTCTGAGCTGGCCTGTCTCAGAAAAAGCCAGTGTCCTCTTTCCCTAGTGTTTGGGAAGCCCCACTGCACGCCTCGGGGAAGCTGGTTACAGCTGGAGAGCTACTTTCTTCAGCTGGGGTGAGTCCCCTTAGGAGAGCCCACTCAGTAAAAGTGCCGCCAGCCACTGGCCCAGGAAGCACGCCCTTCTCCCCGGGGTGGGGGGGGGGCGGCCCACTCACCACTCAGCCATTGGAGCCATTCCTACGTGGGAGGAAATGAAGTCCCCATTTGGAGGGATCAGGGCATGCCACTGATGAGGGAAAAAGACTCAAAAAGGGGAGTTTGGGGGCTCCCAGAAGACACATTTGGTGAACTGGACATGTCCTTTCTGCCACAGCTTCTAGAACAAGGCTTTGGTTCCCCTGAAGTATGGATCACTCCTAACCAGCGTGAGTCCCTACAGGGGAAGTGGGGAATACGGGGCCAGCCTTGTCTCCACACCCAGGGCACCAGTGGGCAGCTCACTGCACCAGCGCCTCTAGGCAGCTCCCAGTAAATGCCCTCTAGAACGCTCGGCCAGAAAGCAATACTTCCGAGAGCCAAACAGACCCAATGGACAGGTACTTACCTAGCCATTGGTAAGGTCCCAGTGAGGGGACCCAGAGGCAAACTTTTGATTTTATTTTTAATGTATTTACACTCTGCTTCCATCCACAAGTTTAAGTTTAAGGTGGCTTTCAAGTAATCCATCCGAATACAATAAAAAAGACCCATTTGGAAGAGGGGAAGGGGGTCTTCATGGGATTCCCTGAAGGAGGGGAATTGAAATGAGTGAGGAGCTTCAGTGAACTCCACCTCCAGGAGTAAAGGCAGAGGGCACAGCCTCAGAGGATAGGCCAGGGATGACGATGGTGAGAACCCTGTGTGGCTCTGGGACTGCTGACCCTCCCGCTGTCTTTTCCCCGTCCCCCTCAGCCCCATTCCAGGACTGGGAACAACATGATTCCCAGAGGCCAGAGGACGGGGGAAATGTCCCCCCGGAGGCCCTATAGCCCCTTGTACACTGTGATAGCCATCCTGAAGGGCAAGCAGGTGGACTTGACGGGGCCATGCCGAGGAGGGACCCCGAAGACAGCCTTTCAGGTCACACAGCCCCGCCTTCCCCAGTGGAGCCAGACTGCCGGGGTTTCAGTCCCAGCTCTGTCACCCACTGGCTTCGTGGTCTCGGGCAAGTGACTTCGCTTCTTTGAGCCCACAGTTTCCTCACCTGTGAAATGCAGTAATACTAGGACTAAGTTCTTTTTTTTAAATTTTTTAAAAGATTTTATTTATTTATTCATGAGACAGAGAGAGAGAGAGAGGCAGAGGGAGAAGCAGGCTCCCTGCAGGGCAGAGGGAGCCCGATGCGGAACTCGATCCCAGGACTCCAGGATCATGACCTGAGCCGAAGGCAGACGCTTAACGACTGAGCCACCCAGGCACCCTCTTTTTTTTTTTTTTAAGACTTTATTTATTTGACAGATAGAGAGAGCACAAGCCGGGGCAGTGGCAGGCAGAGGGAGAGGGAGAAGCAGGCTCCCTGCAGGGCAGAGGGAGCCCGATGCGGAGCTCGATCCCAGGACCCCAGGATCATGACCTGAGCTGAAGGCAGTCGCTTAACCAACTGAGCCACCCAGGCGTCCCTAGGACTCATCTCTTAGCAAGATGATGAGGACTAAATGAGTTCATGTTTGTGAAGCTCTCAGAACACGCTTGCCATAAAGAGTCAATGCGGTATGAGGGTGGGTGAAGTCAAATATGTAACTACAACGAAAACCGGTGTCGTCTGTACCTTGACCTCTCTGCCCCTGACATCCAACACTGCTGAAATGGCAGTTAATATAGCAAAGATCAGCTGGGTTGAAGTGTCAACCCTGGAAGCAAATAAACCAAGCAGGCACCCCTCCCCCATCTTCTGGACTGTGCCCTGGGGAGGGTGTGTGTGCACGCATGTGTATAAATATAGGGGTGGTCACAGGGGGTGGAGGCATGAGTCAGTTTCATAGAAGCTGGTCTTTGCCGTGATGAGACCCAGAACCTCACCCCCCAGCCGGCCAGGCAGCAGGAAGGGGGTTTATCCCCTCAGAGTGAGGGTTGGGCTTCCCTTTGCTGTGATTAGAGGATGCAGTGGGCAGCTCCCTTCCAGCAGGAGGCTCCTTCTCCTCATGGAATAAGGTGGCGGTTATGGTCCAGGAACTTTGTTAGCAAGGCACAGTGTGCCTGGCTGGAGCCCCTTGTGAGCCAGTTAGATTGGTTTGGTTCTGTGGGCACAGACTGAGTCAGATCCTGAGCCCTGGCTGAGTGCTAAGCTCAGCAAGTCATGGTGCAAACCTATGCTGCCCCCTCATCTTCTCAGCACCTATGTGGTTAGAGTACCACCGTGGCTCACCAAGGTTCCAGTCAGTTCCACGTAAGCCTCTATTTGGTGGTCCTTGGGCACTCTCCCAACCATCTGTCTTTGGTAGCCTGATCCCTTTTTACTTCTCTGTCAGCTTATGCCTCTCTCCTCACTGTGTCCATGCCAACCACACTGCCCTTCCGTCAGTCTCGAATATTCGTCATGCCCCATCTAGCCACAGGGACTTTGCTTGTTCTTTTTTTCTCCACCTGGAATGCCCTTCCTTCCTCTCTTGCCCTGTGAACTCCTTCTCCTTCAAGTCTCACCTCAAGTGTCACTTCACCTGGGAAGCTTGCCCTGACCCCCTTGCTAGGTTGAATTTCCCTGTTAGTCCTCTTACTGCCTTTGTCACAGGTCCCACCGTCTGCCTCCCAACACTTCCCCAGTTGTGGAGAGGATTGTGGCTCACGGCTGCCTCTTCCCCTCACGTCTGCTGTTACCCTGCGTGACATCAAGTTTCCTTTCAACAATCTACCTGATGTCTTGGTTCTTCAAGTTCAAGCCCCTCAATTGAAAGCCTTTCTCCTCCACTTCTCCTCAACCTCCCACACCAAAAGGAACATCTTGGGCCTTGTCATTGCTTGGGATTGCTCTTCTCTGATAAAGTGAACTCCAGCTTCCCATTCTCTGGCCACATTCTCTTACCCTTCTGTCAAGAGTCCTCTCTCCCTTACTCCTATCATACCTGCTTTTTTTACCTCACCAAAATTTCCTGTCACTTACCTTATGCTCTTCCTATCCATTTATCAGCATCCCCAATCTCACTTCCCTCCCTATTTGGTCCAGGTAACATAATCCATCACTCCAACTTCCCTTTAATTAGCACATTTAACTTTTCTGTACCTCTGTCCTTCCACTACATCCATCCTGCCAATCTCCATCTTCAAGTAAAACCACACTCCTACCCCAAGGCCTTTGCACACACTGTTCCCACTAATAGGAATGCTCTTTTTCCAGATATCAACATGGCTCACTTTGCTTCCTTCAGACCTCTATTCAAATGTTACCTCCACAGAAAGACCTTCCCTGATCTTATTTGAACAGTGCCTCTGTCATTCTTTATCTTCTCATTCTGCTTTATTTACCTTCAGAGCATTTACCTGACAATATATTATTATCTGTTTGCCTATTTCTCTCTCACTAGTATGCAAGCTCCATGAAAGTAGGGACTGTTTATTTTGTTCACTGCCGTATCCCAGAGCCTAGAAATACTGCCTGGCACTTAGTAGGCACTTGTAAATATTTGTTGAATGAATGAATAAACCCCAGGGCATTTGAACTATCTGTCTTCTTCATAGGAGAAAATATCACACCTCTGTGGGTTGGAGTCACTCCAGATTCGTGGTGCTCCATGTCAGCAGGCCTCTTGATGCTACCCGGCAATCCTTTTTCTTGTCCTGGGTCGGCTCCCTTTCCTGCTGCCCTCGTAGGCGAGTCCAGACTTTTACCCTGGTCCTCAGACCCCTAACCTGCCTGCATTCAATGACCGATGGATCTTCTAGTTGTTTCTGACTTTGCATTATTTCAGACAAATGCACTGAAAATCTTTGCACCCGTAGAAAGATTTCTCTAGGAGCCACATCTAGAAGTAGAAAGTACGCATTTCTCATGTCAGTAGATTCTATCAAACTGCCATCCAAGAAAAGCTATGCCAGGTCACACTCATACTAACAGGGTATGAAAATAACTGTTTCCACAACCTAATCAACACATATGTCATCAATTTTAAAAGATTTTTTTCAACTTGATGGGTGAAAATTGGTTTCTTGTTGTTTTATTTGTATTTACCCTATTGCTACTAAAGGTTGACTATGTTTCTGTATGTTTTATTTGTCTTTTATTTTTTCATCTCTGAATACCTGTTCCTTTCCTTAGCCCATTTTCTTGTTGGGTTGTTTGTCTTTCTTATTGGTTTAAAAAGATCTTGATATATTTTACATATTTCTCCATTATACGTTTGACATAGTACAAATATTTATATGCCACAAATATTTTCTCCCTTTTAGCTTTGTCTTTTAAAGACATAGTTTTTTATGTAGTAAAAAAAAATCTATCAAGGTATTATTTTATGATTTCTAGGATTTGTGATCTACTTGAAAAGGAAATATTATCCCACATTTTCTTATAGAGTTTTTTATTTGTGTGCGTGTATGTGTATGTGTGTGAGAGAGAGAGAAAGAGAGAGAGTGCATGTGTATTTAGCTCATTATTTCATCTAGAATTCATATTTGGATATGGTAAGAGGTACAGATCCAATGTGATTTGGGGTTTCTTCTTCTAAGTTGGACAACTAATCATCCCAACATCACTTAATGATTAGTA